TAACAGATATCCCGTGTTATTTTATTTAATGAATTTATTATAGAAAAATTGTTGCTGGTCAAAAGCTTCGGGCAGAATAATCTGGATAATGTTTGGTTGTGGCATAATGTTTTTAGTCTCAAGTATTGTTGTTGTTTCGATAATTTTTGTTGTACTAAAGTTGAAATAAAGTAAATTTGTTTAACTCGTTAATCGGGCAGCTTCGTCAAATTTCATAACGATATAAATAACAGGTCCTTAAAAGAGTTGATTGAAGAGGTGATGCTTTTGCATTTTGATGTTTTTCCAACAAATGGAAAATCGAGGATCCCACAGCTTATACTAAGCCGCCTTCGAACGGCTGATGAGTTTTTATGAGGAGGCTTATTTCATATCAGAAATACACTATGGGTGTTTGACAATCCCTGCGGAGGCCCGACCGCAGTCAGAAAATTTAAATTACTTTTTTAATTAAATTAGTTTTCTATAACGTGTGGATGTTGGTCGTAGCAGGGTTTGAACCCTGATCTTCTGAGTGGCCTTTTAAATCCTTTTTTGGCAGATCTTTGTTTCAAAATCAGAAATCTCCATCTCAAGAAGCTCAAAGGAGCAAACTAATTGACTTGATCAGTACCCAAGAATTTTAGTGGGTTCTTTCACTTGAAATTTCTTATTCTATCAGGTGTACAACTTTGCTTCCGCCGTTTTTTCCAAAATTAAAAGCTTTATTGCGAAAAAGTGCTTACAGATATATTATTCAAAGTATTTTTTTTCGCTAGCGACAACTTTCTCCCATCTTTTCGGCAATTTTCGGATCCCGGCTCGAAAAAAGGAGTCCTCTTTTGACGCTATCCATGAAGCAATCCATTTTTCCAATTCTTCGAAGGATTGAAAATGTTGATCTGCCAGGCCGTGTGCCATCGAACGGAATAGGTGGAAGTCAGAAGGGGCGACATCTGGGGAATACGGCGGGTGGGGCAAGACTTCCCATTTCAGCGTTTCCAGGTACTTTTTGACCACTTTTGCGACGTGAGGCCGAGCATTGTCGTGTTGGAGGATGACTTTGTCATGTCGCTCTTGATATTGTGGCCGCTTTTCTTTTAGCGCGCGACTAAGGCGCATCAGTTGCGTTCGGTAGCGATCTCCTGTGATGGTTTCACCCGGTTTTAAGAGCTCGTAGTAAATCACACCGAGCTGATCCCACCAAATACAAAACATAACCTTGTTTGTCTTCGACATCGAAATCACCATTTTTAAAACGTTGAAACCACTCCCGACACGTTCTTTCACTCAGAGCAGCATCACCGTAAGTTTCTGAGAGCATTCGATGCGCTTCAGCTGCATTTTTTTTTTGAATTGTAACAGAAAAGTAAAACTTCCCGCAAATGGCGAGAATTAGGCACATAAACGGACATTTTCGAGCGTGAATAATACGAAAACAAGAACAACTGTCACTGAAACGGCGATGACAATTCGTTAGGCACTGTCCACACTCACTTTAAAGGCATTATCATCTATGTATTTCAACCAGCTTCAGCCTGTACAGCCACCTATCGAAAAACGGCGGAAGCAAAGTTGTACGCTTGATATTTACCTATGCTGGGGTCTTTATATGAAAAGTTTAATGCGAATAGTCCGACTTTTTTAGCCGGCACCTCTTCGGGCGCCCGTTGAGTGTCCGTCTAAGGGAGGTTTCGCTGCTTATCCATTTCTAATTCAAAGGACAAAACATAACCAATTAAGGAAAAAGTTTAAAAAATATGGAATTTTTCATTTTACGACGATAACGAGGTGCTAAGGGTTCTAAGCGATGCTTTCTTCATTTTTTATGATAAGGAAAACCATATGTCGATTTGCAGGGCTGTTTGAGCGTACATTATGGTATTAAGAGTTGTAGAAATTTTAGGACCCCCATCAGGAAAATCTAACTTTTCTCACTTTTATCAACATAAAATTAAAATGAATAACGCCACTTTTGAAGCGTCGAAACCAACCACCCTAAACTGCCACAAGCCTTCGATTGGCTTCAGCTGAACGTTTCTTCTAATTAGATTTGAAAATACTTTCCGCAAGAGGCAACGAACCGAGTTGCTGTGAGAAACATACGCTTATGCACACCAATTATTGTGGACAGATGTGAAATCTCTCCAGTGATAGGTAATCGCGGGTGGAGCCAACTTCATAAGGGACCTATTTAATTTGTACTCAAATATTGAGGGTGAAAATATAGCTTGTAGTCAAGATTTTTGGGAAAAATTGTGGTTCTTTCGAAACTAAAAGTAAACCCAATTGGGGGAATTGTAAAATCATTGAAGGCTAACTATTAAGTTGGCAGCACGGCAAAAAATCCTGTTAAGTGTACAGTAATATGTATATATTTTTTTTGGTTTTATATGACACTATAAGTTCATTTATTTTCTGATTTGTCGTTTCCAAGACAGTTCTGGAGAACATTCACAAAAGCAAGTTTTTACTTGGTCATCCAAATCTCCTTCCTAAATCTTCTGCTTTATCACCTGCCATAGTTGTGAATCGACAAATAAACCCTCTTGAATTTTAGCTGCGTTGAGTCTCGGGATTTTCTCGTTTCGGTATAGAGAGTAGATAGTCAGGTCGTAAATATAGTATACAATGGGTATGTTGCCCGATGAAAAGTTACGATAATGATCTATGTCTTAGCTTAGCCTAATCTAAAAGAAGTCTCACACACGATGCACAATATTTGTGTGGAACCCAAGACCTATATTGGCAACTCGCGAGTAATTCAAAATAGTCGGCGGCCGCGGTTGGTTACCATTGCGTACTGCTATTCGGAAGGCTCGGGTCCATATACCGGTGCCACCAGCATCCAAAAGTTATGAAAAATGAATTTAAATAAAAAGATAAGTTCAAATTTTCTAATTGTGGTCACCCCTCAGCAGGGAATGTCCAACCCTCCGAGTGTATTTCGGACATGAAATAAAGGCTCCTCATTAAAACACCATCAGCCGTTCGCAAGTTCAAAATAGTCTAAATATTTTCATCATTATTGAAGTAAGTACACCCTCATTTCGATTATCCATATTGCTGATAATCCACAAATAGTTTGATGAGAGTTTTCATGAAAATACAAATTTTCCATTATTCTTTCGAAAATTTCCTAGCAAACTTTTATTTTTTAAATTTTATTATTTTTTGCGTACAGCGAATTTTGTTTTTGTCTTTGTTGCATATAAATAAATTCGTAACCATTTGCGATTCATTAAAATATAAATAATAAACCATTTGAAATGCATAGCACCGTATCTGATGGCAATTTATTATTCTTATGCTAATTACCGTTATGACTTTCCCCATTCGCACATTTATAATTATGAATTTAGTGTTTTTGTAGTTTATTGTTTTGCTGTCACAAAAGAGTGAGAACAATAAGTGTAAAAAAAAAAAATTGTTAAATAATATTTTTTTTTCCATTTGAATTAATTACTAAATAAATATTTATATTTGTACATAAGATGATTTTTGATAACTTTTATAAATTTCATAATTGGTTGGATTGCAATTTGAAATTTCCTAAAACCGGAAAGGCGGTGAAAATTCCCCAAATATTTTTTTTTTTGCTAAGCTTTTAAAATATTATCCAAAGTCGAAATTCTCTGGTAATCACTTTGATTGCATTTTCTAATTGAGCTTTGCCCGACTCTAACATTTTCGTTAAGACTTAAATTGAACTCAGTTGCTGGAGAACTGGCTGTTTCGAGAGTCCTCTGCAGAGGTATCCTGTGTCTGTTCCTCTGAGATTGTATAATTCGCGCTTTGTAACCGCTGAAGCGATTTGAGGCCGAGCTACTGCCACAATTTGCAGTTTGCGTCTTGATGTTTTCCCCAAAAAAATGAATCACCTACAGTTTATACTTAGCCGCCTCTGAACGACCGATTGATTTTTATGAGGCAAATTAAGTTAACTTTTCTAATTGCGGTCGCCCCTCAGCAGGGAATGTCAACCCCTCCGAGTGCATTTCTGACATGAAATAAAGCTCCTCATAAGGAAACCTTCAGCCGTTCGGAGGCGGCTTAGTATAAACAGTGATCCCATCATTTGTTGGAAAAACATCAAGATGCAAAACCACAAATTCGATGAGGAGCTCGGCCGAAAATCGCGGTTACAAAGCGCCAATTATATATATATATTTTATTTGTTACAGAATTATACTTGACATTCTCTGCCGAGAGGCGATCGTTGTTAAAAGTATGAATTTCCTATAATTTTTGCAGGGCTCGAAAATCCCTAACCACTTGACTATTGTGCCCGTAATTAGGGTCCTTTTTAACACGCGCAGTTGCAAGGTTCTTCTGACGCTGTGATCAGGGTGCTCACTTAGACAGAAGATACTAAATTACTGCACTCCGGGCGAAAATCCTCAATGATCTTTAATATCATAGCAACGAATTCCAAAGTGCTTCGAAGTTAGGCTAGGTTAGAAGATACGTAACTTCATCTCTTCTTCTCCGCGCTAATAGATAATATCTGACCTCGTTGGCGACCTTTCGGTCCAGCTGCACTTCCTCCCTTCCCTTCAGTGGCTCAGCGTACTTTAGTTCTCACGTGAAGAAATTGTAGTGGAGAAGAAGACGCTAAATGCCAACTCGAAGATATGATAATTCATGCGACTCCATAAGAACAACGCAGCGTCTTACATTCGGGCCGATTATAGATCTAGACTTTCTGAGTTCTACAGCGATTTTGGTAGAGATAAACCTCTTGGAGGAGCTAGTAAGGCTCCATAGATGCTAATGAGAGCCGTGGGTTTAAAGATTTCAGGTTGCTTAACTAGAGTTACTTTTGTTTAACGGCTTCGCAGCATAAAACTACCGATGTTATTTCATTACTCTCTTCGATGTTCGCCTTCCAGAATAGTTTCCTGTCTTTTTTTGGATAAATGCGTTACTTTAGGAAATCCTCTCTCTGCATTACTTTTCCACACTTAACCCTTGATTGTATTTCCAAATCTCATTAATCATTTCCCACCTTATCTTTGTAGGTACAAAGTCGAAGTGGCTGGCAAAAGTCTTCCAGTGTTAACGAATCTCGACAAAGGTCGCTACGGTGTCATCGTATTCGAAAATCTCGATAAATACCTGAATATGGACAAATGGAATCGTGAGCTGCTGGATAAGTACTGTCGTGAATACTCAGTGGGCATAGTGGGATTTGTTAGTCCGAGCGAGGAGACCTTGGTAGCGGCACAATTGCGTGGTTTGCCACTCTATATACACACAAACTTGCGTCTACGTGACGCCAGTCTCAATCCCGCCTCACCCGTGCTGCGTCTCACGCGTGCCGGTGAGACGGCTTGGGGTGCGCTTCCCGGCGACGACTGGGCTGTCTTCCAACACAACCACACCACCTACGAGCCAGTTGAATGGGCGCAGCGTAATACACAAGACTATCCATCCGACAGCGGTGGACAAGTGCAATTGCCATTGACGACTGTGCTGCAGGACCACGGCCACTTTGATGGCATTCAACGCGTTCTATTTGGCAGTAATTTACGGTTCTGGCTACACCGTTTGCTATTCCTGGACGCGTTGTCGTACCTGAGTCACGGTCAGCTGAGTTTGAATCTCGAGCGTATGATACTAGTGGATATTGATGATATTTTTGTTGGCGAACGTGGTACGCGTCTACGACCGGACGATGTGCAGGCGTTGATAGCTACGCAAAGGATTATTGCGGCTATGGTGCCGGGTTTTCGTTTCAATTTGGGCTTCTCAGGCAAATTCTATCATCACGGTGAGCGTGAGGAGAATTTGGGCGACGACTACTTGTTGCGCAATGTGCAGGAATTCAATTGGTTCTCACACATGTGGAAACACCAGCAGCCGCATCTGTATGAGAATCTGACGTTGCTCATGTCGGAAATGCAGTTGAATTATGCCTTCGCAAAGGAGCACAACATTCCCACTGACTCCGGCTACTCCATATCGCCACATCACTCAGGCGTTTATCCGGCGCACGAAATACTGTATATAGCGTGGAAGAAAATATGGAATGTGAAGGTTACCTCCACCGAGGAGTATCCACATTTGCGGCCGGCGCGTTTACGTCGCGGCTTTATACATCGCGACATCATGGTGCTGCCGCGTCAAACGTGTGGTCTCTTCACACACACCATGTACATAGATCGCTATCCCGGCGGGCGAGATAAGCTCGACGAATCGATACAGGGTGGTGAACTCTTTCAAACTATAGTCTATAATCCTATCAATATCTTTATGACGCATATGTCCAACTATGGTTCGGATCGTTTGGCGTTGTATACGTTCCAGTCGGTGATAAAGTTCCTGCAATGCTGGACTAATTTGAAATTGAGCTCAGCGCCGCCTATACAATTGGCCGAAATGTACTTCCGCCTACATCCAGAGGAGGTGGATCCCGTTTGGGGTAATCCCTGTGATGATCCACGTCACAAGAAAATCTGGTCGAAAAAGAAAAGCTGTGATTCACTACCTAAATTTCTGGTCATCGGTCCACAGAAAACGGGTACAACTGCACTATACACATTCCTCGCCATGCACTCAAGCATCACCAGCAACGTACCCAGTCCCGACACTTACGAAGAGATACAATTCTTTAATGGCAACAATTATTATCGCGGCCTCGACTGGTACATGGACTTCTTCCCATCTGACTCTAGCGCAAACTCAACGGTGACACCACAAACTCGCTACATGTTCGAGAAGAGCGCTACTTATTTTGATGGCGAGGCGGTGCCGAAACGTGCTCACGCTCTGCTGCCGCATGCAAAGATCGTATCGATTCTTATTTCACCAGCGAAACGTGCCTACTCATGGTATCAACACCAACGGGCGCATGGCGAAGGGATCGCCAACAACTATAGTTTTTATCAGGTAAATTTTAGTTATATTTATTTACTAGTTGCTTCATAGAATATTGTGGAAAGGGCTTTATAAGTGGGGGACTCTAAAAGAATCTCCCACATAGCCATCCAAGCAACGTCAACGTTGGGATGACACAAAGGGTAAAAATATTCCGATGATTTTAGCAATTCTTTGAAACAACTCAACAGCGTCAATCTGGAAAAATCCAAAGACCTACTACATCAGTTTTCATCAGATAATCCCGGTCAAAACTCACACTATGTGCGAGGTTTTTATTCTTGAGCTTTTGTGGACGAGGCTACTGCCACCAGCACGCCACAGTTCCCTTATATCAAGTTGCTAATGTGTGCTCTCAGAAAGCAGGGATGCAAGCTGAGTAGAAAACGACGATATAGTGATCCAAGTCATTGTTTGATCCTCGGAGCTTACGTACATTGAAAACATTGTATTGTAGATATGTCTTCCGTCATGATAGATCTGGTTGTGAGTTTTTCGATCTGGAGACAGCCAAGTAGCTCGGTGAATATTCTTGTGCTGGAATCTTGTGCTACAGACGACCATATTAGCATTAATCCATTTGGGGTTGTTTTTTGTCGTGGAGCCTAAATTTTTCGACAATCGTACCAAAAATTCCTTCTTGCCCACCCTGGCGTTGAAGTCGGAAGCATAACTTTGACGTCATAGCGGGGGCAGCGCACATAAGTGTGCTCGAGGCGCTCGTAAAAGGCAACTTTGGCCAAATCATTCTTCTTTTCCATCAGAGCAAATCAGCGTGGAGCGTGGAGTTAAAAAATTTCGTTTTGATGCGGATTGTGGCGAGACGTTCGTCCACCTGAGTGAATGCCAGTACTCGGCGGCGGAGTCTCTCTCCCACCTTAAATCCGACACCAATTTGTGCTATAGTAAATTTCACAAGGACCCACCATCTTACGTCCTTGTCCTTCCATCAACTTTTTTGGACGACGGTGATATCAGCGTTTAATTTTATGACCAACTGAATAGTGGCACCTTTCTATTTAAAGGACCGGATATATCAGGTGCATGCCCTCAATTCGGGGGTTGTCGTCAAAAGCGGGGGTCTCTTGCTAGACTTTTTTAATTTTTTCATTAGAGTCATTTTTCATGTGGGGGCCTAAAAGCCTGCGGAAAACTGCATGGGATTCGCCTTCTCACCTTAGCTCACCTCCAAACGGTAGACACTTGAGCTTAGATGAGAAGTCGTGAGCTGATTTAACCTTATGCAAAAGAATCGTCTCTGGTCAGGTGAATGGCAGTCCAAAAATGTCTTCACTTACTTGAATCTTTACTCATGACCCACCGTGGAGACTAGGCCTCGAGAATTTTCTCTACACCGAAAAATCCACATGCAATGCAGGTTTCCTTCATTGTAAATGGAATTAATACTTAGCTATTATTTTGTTGTTGTTTTGTTAAATAAACAGGTGTACCGTAAAACATGTCCATAATTTATGGCAAGCGATTATTTGCCAGTTAATCGTTCATCTTTAATTAAATTCTCCATTAAAAAAGATTTATTATTCAATTAAATTATTCAAATTATTTTCCATATTATTTTGCAAACATATCTACATCTGCACAAATAAATATGTACACTCGTATCTATGCCTCTTCCTGTTTTGCGCTCGCATGAAACGAAACGTTAAACAAATAAGCAAGTCAAATCCGAAGTCAAGTGCATTTGCAAGATTATGGAAAATCATTGACCACACACAAATACGTTAATATGACACATACAATACATATGTATGTATGTATGTACATATGCATGTTTATGATGTGGCTACTTTTAAATTCTATTTTCTTGCCACATTTGTCCGCTCAGACTGTGCTTCTTGCGGTTGTGATGAATATAACTGACTGGCCTAACCAACTGGAATGAAGAATAGAATAAACTGCCAATTGAATGGCCAACGTCAGCAGCAAGACACTTGAAGTAGACTCAGACCACATTCCACATGCCACATGCCACATGAATTATTGCTTTGATGGGAATGATGATGAAGTAAATGAGGAGATCTGCACTTGTGCTTGAAGAGCTCACAAGCCTGTCTGTATATATATGTAGAAGTGTGCTCACGCCTGGTGCAAGGAAATGAAGACTTTGTAGGATTCGCATATGTTTGAATGCCACTTTAAGAAGTCGAATGTGGAAAGAATTGAGTTTGAGAAAGCTGAAGAATATTTTCTCATTATGCACTTAGACGAGACGCCTTTAAACTCTATCTACACGCGCATGTTAAGATTATTACTTCCAGTAAGTTGGTTCGCTCGACCAACTTCAAAGGATCCGCGCTCAAATGGATCTTTGCTGTCGTAAGATGATTTTCAAGACGAAGGCGGTACAGTGAAGTCATTCGTAGGAATCTTTAATCGAACTAAATCAATATCAGCTAATATCCAGATGAGCCTCTTGCTTTTAAACAAGATACCTCCTACGGATTCTCGAAACGAGTCTCAGTACAGCGCCAACGGCTCCAAAATATTTGAGGTTGTGGCGTAAACACTACCTTTACTGTCAGTAAATTTAATATTGGGTATGGACTTCCACCAGCGGAGAGCCCGCATATACATTAACGATGAGCTCGTTGTTGCGTCACGATTTGGAAAGTGTAGTGAAGTGTGACGACTCCCCATGCTCAACGATCGAACTCCTCTCACCAAAGGAAAAGATGAGGTGTGAGCTACTTTTCTAACAGAAAATAAGAGAATCTTAGTATCGTCTGGCCCCAGTGACGTCGCCATACATATAATGAGATTGTAGCACAGCGAGTTGTTAGCGACCGGTCGAAGAGAGCCATACAAAAGTGCACAAAGGTTGCTCACGTTTTCAGGGTACGCGACGTGGACGCCACTGTAACAGCATACCCAGAAGCTTGACTACACCCCATTTACATCCCTAGGACAAGCTGTTTATATCAACAATTGACCTGAGGAATGGGTTCTGGTAAATTCCACTCAGTTGCGCTTTTCACCGTTCGGGTTAGAACTGTATTCCAGTGGAAAGTAATACCTTTCGGGCTGCATTCTACACCCGCCACATTTCAATGCGCGCTCAGTTGAGTTCTTGGTCTTGATCTTTAGCTCAAAGTTTTTGCATACCTGGATGACGTCAATGTATTCGGAGATACTTTCATCGATCACCTGCACTACCCTTCCGCGCTAACACTACTTAGGAAAGTTAACGAATTGTGCTCGTCCAGAGATATTTAGACCAAGAACCAATAGTCGTATACGCATATGGAAGTTTATTTGACCTAACAAAAAAGTTATTCCCCCACCGTACAGAAATGTCTTGCAGTGTTATGGGGAATCCGCGTTACGCGGAGGGCAATCATGACAGTAATCACAGACCAGGATTCTCTCAAATCGCTACAGACTTTACAAAATCCATCCGGCAGGTTGGCGAGATACTCGTTAGAACTTCAACAATTCGTCTTCGACGTCGGATATAGAAATGGGTCGTTGTCAGCGCGGACCCGACTAATCTGTTGACAACGTCGCCCATATCTAATAGTAGGACGGGTATTATGAGGGTGTTGTAGAGTTTGGATTTCGTACGCGGAGAGCGGACTTTACTTTTCAATTGCCTACTCAGCCCAAAGTAGCACCGGTTAGCAAAAGTGATTCTGCGTTGGATTTCAATGTTGATGTTATTATTGGTGTTAGTGCTGGTCCTTAGATGGACGAATCGCGATTGCGTTGACTGTTTGTTTGATGGCAGAAAATAGTCTTGCCCTCGCTCACCAGCAGATCCATATCTTTCGCTTACTTATCCAGTCTGAAGAAAGCAGAACCCAACGCGCGGTTGTTGAGGCCAAGAATGTCGATATCATTTTCAGCTGCATCTTCTATATTCAGCTCCACAGCTCTTACTGTTTTCTCCAGCAATGAATTAAAGATGTCACATCATAAGGATTCACCTTATCTGAAACCTCGTTTGGTATCAAACGGCTCGGGGAGGTCCCTCACGATCCTCAAGGAATTTTTGGTATGGTTTAAAATTAATTTAGGCAGCCGTAAAGTTTTTGCGGAATTCGGAATTCAGTCACTCACAAACCCAACACAAATACACAAATGAGTACAGCATATGTGCATATGTGTGTGGACAATCAACTTGATCCATAACAATTGAATTGCGCACTCGAAATGCATTATTCTCAACCATTGCCGCAACAGAAGTTCTCACCTGTCACCACAACTGAGGACACACACGCACATACACACACACAGTTATATACATTCTATGTAGAAATTTTTGTATGGATATATATATATATGTGTGTATAACAAAACCACTGGTTGTTTGCATTCAAGCTCGGATTATCTTGCCAAACTGGTTTTCCGACTGATGACCGAATTATGTGCATTTTAAGTAAATTGTTATGCGATTTCATATATTCATACATACATATATATGTACATACTCGTGCATATGTCTGTTAGGCACGTACACATGCCCATCTTAATATACGAGGAAGTGTGTGTATGTATGTGTGTGTGAAAATTTTACCACATTCACTCGCTTGTCAGTGCAAACAACGTGTGAGTTCCTGCGTTGTCACATTTCAAATCCTATTTGTTAAGTGTAGCACTTTTCTATTATTATTATTGCTGCTGTTGTTGTTGTTGTAACTATTGTTTGCATACGTTTCTCCGCATGTATAAGTTGTTAAATGCATATGACAAGCAGTAAGACAGCAGAAGTAAAACCACAAATCAGTTAAATACTTGAGTGAATGCGGCGTTGAACACAGACGACCCGAGTGGAAAGTACGCAAGCCTCTCTAGGGTGTTTTCAAGTGTGGTGAACTGAGCATACAAAGCTTTTTGTTTCGAGTTTGTAAGTTAAACATGTTGCTCGATGACGGATCCTTCATCGAACGCACTTAAGCATACGGGCCCGTTGTGATACCTATGTAGGTCCTATGAAGAGATTCCTCTCACATTTCACACAGTGGCAATATTGTACCGATTATTTCTGCAGCTGC